TTCTCATCCAAATGCAAGGTGACCACCATAATATGTTAACTCCAAGATAACTTCTTAAACATGGCCTCTACCTGAGCAGTCAAAATTGATAAAGCACCCAACTTATAGCCACTGGCTACTTCTTAAACATTATTATTTTGAATCTTTTTGTTTCTTCTAACATATTATTGGATATTGGTATCCATATGCGCCTACTAACATTTCAAGGAAATTTTCCACCATTCACTTGTGATATTGGTATGCATATGTGTGTTGAGTTACCATACACACACACAAGGGGAGAGAAAAATGTAATGTTAGGTTTTTTTCTTTATTTTCATACTGTAGGATTTTAAATCATATTGTACGATTAAGTTCATTATGCAAAACCCTAGCTGCCAAAGAATTAAGGAAGAAACTAATTTTTTTTATTATATAGTATGACCACAATCATACAATATGACCATAATTATAACTTGCTTAATTTGACCTAAAAAATTAGGCAATCAAATCATGGGCAATTATGATTAGTCGATCATATTGTACGATAATGTTCGTATAATATTATTGATATAGAACAAATTTTGTCATCCCGAAGGTCATATAAAATGAATGCCATTATTTTTTACTAATCATATTGTACAATGTCCACAGTGCTGGACAAATGATAGAGTACAAAATTGGCCATTCTAGAAGTAGTCTAAAACAAATAGAAGGAATTTCTATAGTTCATACCAAACGATCTTATGATCAAATAGTACAAATTGTTATGAGGTTAGAATACCTCATCTGAATGATTATTCATATGATATTTAATGAGTCTAGTTTTTACTGATTATACTTTATAATGTTTATAACTGACATTATGAACAGCAGATGGCTCTCTTAAAAATTAGGGTTTCTTGAAGTCCACTATTCAAGCATCTTTAACTCTTATGTTAAAAAAATCTTTTGCTACCAAGATTCTTGTGAGGGAGCTTAGAGAGAGAGATTAGTAGAGCTTTGTGAGAGAAGAGAGGGAGAGTTCTGGTGAGGGTGAGTTGTGAGAGCTTCACAAGATTACTCCAAGCAAGATTCTTCGTTGTATTCTTCAAGCTTCTACCCTGATCCTTTGGAGAATCTAGGAAGACTTTCTACAGCACTAGGTCAGTGGCTCTTTGCCATCTCTAGGAGGGAAAATAATGATTCATGGTTCTCTTCCATCACCTGGAGGGTGTAAAAGATTAAGGTTTACTACCATCATTGGGATGGTGCAAAAGCTTTTGGTTCTCTACCACACTTGGAAGGTGAGATTTAATAAGGGATTCTCCACCTTGCTGAGGGCGCAAAAAAAGAGACACTTCTTTTAGTGCAATACCTAGAAAAGATGGTTTTGGGGAGTGGACATAGGTCATATTTGATCAAAATCACTATAAAATATGGTGTGTTCATTCTTTTACTTTTTGTTATTTTAATTTTTACACTTTTCTATGATTTATTGTGTGGTTTAAAAGTCTGATTTATTTTATTTTTATGAAATTAATCTTCTTTAGCTTCAAGGGATAAAATTGATATTTTTAGATATTTTAAAAAGCTTTAAAAGGGGGAATTTTCTTTTTTGCTTACAGAAGTTTTTAAAATTACCAGTTCACCCCACTCTTGGTTAGCCTTGGGCTAGTTCTTAGAGGTTTCACAACCTTCAAAAACTTTCACTTTCAATAATATTTTTCCTTTATATCAATTCTATGTAAAGGGTAAACAAAACAAGCTATTTACAAAAGCAAATTGCGAACGCCTTGAGAAAATAAACCACAATAAACATGCTATCATGTAAATATAAATTATTTAGATATATAATGAGAGGTTTCACCAATGTATGTAGATGTCCAACTATTTTCACGATTATTTTGTGATCAAACATACCTCCAATAAGGGATTGCAAAAATTTTTTCACCATGAATTATGACAATAGAAAGATTGCAAGTAGAATTAAAAATCAACCTAATCACTCATTTAATTTGACATTAGTTATAAATGTACATATTACATCATTAGTTCATACATGAGTATGTATTCAAGACTTTACACTTTATGTGGAATTGGCTTAATTACTAGTATATACCTATTGAAACATATCTATCACAAACATTTAACCCAAATTTTTCAATCAAGAGTTAACTAAATATTTGACATGAGTCTAGAGATGTTCTTATGGTTCAAATAATAATTTTATTTCTCTTCTTTTTAAAACAAAAGAAGGCATATGAACAAATCTTGCATATGGTTTAGTATGAATTTTTAAGAAGCTATGCATTCATCATGTATCTCTTAACATGTAAGAAAATCCTATCAAAACTCTTTTTTTCATTAATAATAACTTATTTCAATTCATTAGCCAACATAACATCACATTAGAATGATTACGAAAAGGAATAAGTATGAGAAGGAGAATGCAAGGAATAAGAAGAATAAAGGTAGACAAATGAAAAGGTGAAATAGAATGAGAAGAAGGAATATAATAAGGGGAAATTATGGATGAAGAAGAAGGAATATGGAAGTGATAATAAGAAGAAGGAGAAAATATAAATGTATGTAAGAGAAGGCCGATTGGACATGGCAGAGTCAATATTAGGCTAGTCGATAGTTTGAACATGAGAGATCTAATCTGGATGCTAGCTTTGGAATTTGGAGTCGGGCAGAGTAGGAGATAGAGTTCAATCTAGCAAATATTGGGGAAGAGAGTTGTTTGAAATTTAATTTGTATTTTTAAGATTTTTCTTCAAGAATTTATGAATTTTGGAAATATCTACCAAAAAATAGGCGTTAAATTTAGGATTTATTAATTAAGTGACCTAATGAAATCCCAGTAATGTGAAATGAATTCCTTTGGTTGATTATGTTACTATCAATGCTAGGTTAGAGTTTCATCTCTATTAAATTTCATGGGAATATCATAGAATTTTTCTAAGTTTTCTAAACTATATCATATGTTAATTTTTTTAAGTGTCTTTAATATTCAATTGGGTTTGAAAATGATTGGGTCTAACCCTTGCGTTAATGTAAACATTACATAAGACTCTTGGTACCTAATTCTATAAGTATTAGATGAATTAAATTCCCAAAGTTTAGGTCAAATAATGACCTATTATTAGGGAAATTCAATTATAAAGCTTAGGGTTATCGCCAAGCCTAGTGAAAATTAGGGGATGTAGGAAACATCCCCTAGTTCACCCTGTCTAATGATGAGCCCTAGATGTCTATTACTTATGAAATAATAATTAATAAATATTGGAAATTTAAACATAAAATACTCCCAAAACTTTAGTCACCATGCTCTAAAATCCATTTAAAATTAATATAGTCATCACTTTGTTTCCATAAATCCCATGATCTTAAAAATTGGTTAAGTGATTGATTTAATATGATTTATTAAAGCTATGGTATTTAGAATGAGTTTATAAACAATTTTATCACATGATGGGGAAACCACTCCACTTAGCAGAGTTGAATTGGAACACACGGGAGGTCGCAGTCAGCTAAGTAAGCAAACTACCACATCGGCATCCTCAATAGTTGTTAAATGTGTGCGATTTGGATGAGCATCTTAGATGAAATTGGATGAGTGAATATCAATCCTACAATATTCTAAGAATGAATTATGTATTATTTATTATGTTTATAATCAGTATAAATGTGTTGTTTGAGTTATGTTTAGAAAAATTCATAAGTATTGAATAGCATCACATCACCCACACATTTAGTAAGTAGATTAGACATCGACAATACCCAACACCTAATTTGAACATTACAGTTCTAGCCTCTCAATTTTTTTTTTAAAGTTTAGCACCCTGATGGAGATCATGTTAGTGCCATAGGGCTTTACAGTGTTACTGCACTAGAAATAAGCACCGCAACACTAGAGGCTAAAAATGTTATTTCCAGAGCATCGATTATTGAAATGCGAAATTGTACTTTGAAGCACCATAATGCTCAAATTTTCTAGCATTATAATAGATAAAATTCCAAATAATGGAACCTCACTGATTTAGATGTGTTTGTTTTCCTAGTAATCGTGCCAGGTTAACTTGGCACCATGGTAGAGAAAAAACTATTACACGAAGGTAATAGTTCAATTTACATCACTATAGCACAAATTTATTGAGTGCCATTTTTCATGTACCTATTTATATGTAGGTATAAATAGTTTTATGTCATTTTTAGTGGAGTCTTTAAGATCTTATAATATTTAGGTTATTTTATTTATAGGGTTATGTCATTTTTAGTGGAGTCTTGAACTTTGTAATGTCTTGTAATAATTACCCCTTAGAGTAAAGTCTAATGGAGGTTAGGGAAGTGTAAGATACCTTATTTTTGGAGATCTTAGCCTCAATTGTGTAAGAAAATCTATTATGGGAAGGAGTGTGGAGAATATCAACTAATCCTTCTTTGTGACATTTTTTCTTATTCATTTATTTTTATCATGTATAAATTTAATATGATTTTGCTTTCATTGTTGTCCATGTCTTACTAAATCTCTAATTTTTTGTTAAATATTTAAATCGATAGTAAGTAATAATGTAAACACTTGCACTTTAAACTTTTTTTCAATATCTCCCATTCTTCATTTTTTTTTGGAAGCTAATTACAAGTAATAAAGGGATCACATTCCTCCTTGATTAATTTCCACAACAAGGACGGAATGTTATCCAAAGAAGAGCTATCAAAGTAAAAACTTTTTTCCAATGCCAAAGTAGCACAACAATTAGCTACCTTATTACAATTTCTAAAGGCATGATGGAAAATAGCCTTATTGAAGTCATCAAAAGAACAAAGATCCTTTGTCGGCCATCTATCCATATGCCAAATATTTTTCTTGAGAGGCTCTTGAATGAACTTGATAATGTTGATATTATCACTTCAATAATAACCCCTTTGCAATCCAACATCCATTTACAAAGAAATTCCCTAACCGTGATGACAGCAGCTAGCTCAAGCTGAGCTATATCCCAATGTGTCTTATTCTTCCCAAAATCACTGATGTATCAGCCCTTATGGTCCCTAAAAATTCCACCAATTCCAGCTTGATTAGAGCTAATTAAAGAAGCATCCACATTAATTTTAATCCAATCCTTTGGAGGAGGGCACCAAGAATTTTGGGACTCCCTAAGGAGATTAGTGCCCCAGCTTGTAAGAAATGGATTAGAAATATAAGTAGCTAAGAACAATGCATTGGAAACTACCAAAGAGCACGGCAAAGTAGCCTTCTGATGCTTAACATCATTACGATTCCTCCATGGCAAATACACCATGGTGCAGTAAACTCTCACAATTCCAAATTTCTGGGCAGATAAACATTTCAGAACCTGTAAACAATTGTCCAATGATTGAAAAATTGGTATATGGATACCCCATTCACGAATTTTCATAATCACATCCACCATATACTTGCAATGAACCATAATATGCTCATAGGATTCAATGGATTGGCAGCCTCTAGCACAATAATCATATTCAGAAAGCTTACGGTTCTTTAGGAACATATTAGTTGGAATAGCTTTTTTGCCAATCCTCCACCAGAATATATCAACTTTCTTATTCAAATTTAGCTTCAGTACCCAATTGGCAAATCCTTTCTCCTCATCATCACAACTGTAAAAAATGGCAGACTCATGAACCAATGCAGATACAGTTTTCCCCGAACACCATTTCAACAGTTCAACTCTATCCTCCATCTCATAATCAATACTGATTTGGCTAATCAGTAGAATTAGATCCGGATGAAAATCCCTCTATAAAACCGTGTAATTCCATTCACCATTTCTCGTTAACAGCTGATGGACATTGACATTTTCCATAAAATTACAATCCACATAAGTAGGCCACCGGTTAGTGCATTTGTCAAGCAACCAAGTATCATTCAAAACACTGATGTTATTGCCCTTGCCAATCTTCCATCTGACCACATTCTTCAGTAGTCTGCCTCCATCCAGCAAAATACGCCAAGCACTAGAGTTAGCATTTTTAGGAACATCATTCATAATATCATCACCATATTTACATTTCATTGTTCTATGAAACAATGAATCCGGTTTTTGTAAAAAATTCCATGCCAATTTGGATCTAAGAGATCCAATTCTAAGTAATGGAGAATGCAAACCCAAACCACCCAAACTCCTTGGTTTGCAAAACTCTTCCCAAGCAACATAATGCATTCCTTTAGATCCATCTTTCTTATTCCATATAAAATTTCTACAAAGCTTTTCAAGCTCATGAAGAACCCTTTTGGGAACTAATGAATGAGTAATCAAATAATTTGGCATAGAAAGCAAAGAACTTTCAATAAGGATGAGTTTACCTCCCAAAGAAAGGGACTTCTTACTCTAAGCATTAAGCCTATCCATAACATTGCTGAGAAGCTCCTGAAAATCTGCCATCTTGGGTCTTTTAAGCGACATATTCACTCCTAAATATTTCATTTCCTTAACCATCTTAGTTCCAAGCACCTTAGTAATCTTCTTACTTAAATTGTTCTTAACCATCTTGCCAAACATAACTTGAGATTTGCTGAAGTTTACTTTTTGACCAGTCCAATTGCAAAAATCTTCCACAATAATCTTCATAGACTTTGCCAAGGTAGTAGAAGCAAGGGAAAAGATTAACACATCATCTGTATACAGAAGATGTGTAATCCTTGGACCTCTGGAAGAAATCTGAATGCCAAGAGAATCACCTCTTTGTGCCACGGAATTTGACAGCAATTGGGAACACAAGATAAAGAGGTAAGGTGATAATGGGCATCCTTGACGGAACCCACTATTAGCTTTAACCCACTTGGAATTAATTCCATTAATGCTAATGAAAAACCTCACATCAATAACACATTCCAAAAGAAGGTTAGAAAAATGAGAAGGGAATCCATACCACTTTAGAATTTGAAGAAGTGTTGCCCATCCCATACTATAGGCTTGCTCCATATCTAATTTAAATGCCATCATCCCCTTCTTGTTCTTGGATACTTTAAACTTATGAAAAATCTCTTGATCCAAAAGACAGTGTTCTGAAATAGATCTTCCATGAATAAATGCCATTTGTTCTTCCGAAATCAACCTGGAAATTGCCTTTTTCAATCTATTCACAAGCATAGATGCAACAATCTTATAATTCGTTCGGCAAAGGCTTATAGTCCTATAATTTGCCGGAACCATAGGATTCTTGATTTTGGAAATCAAGACAATCAGTGTATCTTTCCACTCCTTACACATAATACTAGATTTAAAAAAATTATTGACAACATTCCATAATGTCTCCCATACAATGCTCTAGTAACTTTTGTAAAAAGAGGACGTAATACCATCTATACCAGGAGACTTATTATTACCTTACTAGAATACCGAACATTGCAGCTCATTCACAGAAAAATCCTCACTAAACATTGCAATATCTTCAGCTGAGATCACCTGTTCCTCTGAAACCGCAGGCCAGCCTGTTAAAATACACTTCTTATGTAGCCATTTCTTTTCAAAGTAGTCATAAAAAACCTTTTGAATTTGATCATCTTCAACCAACAACGTATTGGACTCATCCTTAATTTGATTAATTCGATTTCCATTCCTTCGAGCAGTTGCAAAATTGTGGAAAAGTTCGGAATTCATATCACCCTCTTCATGCCATCTAGCTTTGGCTCTTTGGTTCCACCATGTAGAAAGCCTTCTTAAAGTAACATTAAACTCATGTACTTTATTACGAAGAAATAAAAGATCCTCATCAGTCCAATTCTCCCCCATAGCCTCCTTCTTTTGAAGATCAAGGATCTCCCCTTTCAACTTTTCCTTTAAACTGTTCAAGTCCTTACACTTATTTTTGTTCCAAAAAATAGAGCTTTTAATGTTCTTCTAGTTTTCTTTTGCAATACTTCATTTTCATTCCCAAGATCCTTCTTATTCCAAGAGTGAGAACAATACTTTTACAAGCCGGGTAGGACCTCCAAGTGTCCTCAAACCTGATAACCTTTGATTTGAACCGAACACTAGCATCCAATTTAAGAGCAATTGGACTATGATTTGAAGCTATTCTGGCCAAGTGTCTAATAACAGCTAACGAAATCTTCTGCATAGCAATTGAGTTTAGCAGGCATCTGTCCAACCTTTCCCAAATCCGAGAAGTCCCCTCCTTATTGTTACACCAAGTAAACCTTGGCCTAATATGTCCAATGTCATGAAAATCAGAGTTCATCATAAACTCTTTCATCTCCTTAGGTCCCTTAGAGAATAGGAACCTTTTACCCCCTCTTTTATCTTCCTTACTCAAGATACAGTTAAAGTCACCTCCAATGATGGTAGGAAGTGAATCCTCCATCCAATATTCAAGTTGCTTCCATAAGCTACTTCTCTCCATACAACATCTACTACCATAGACAGTTGCAACTTTCCAAATCCCCAAATTAGGAATCACAAGATTACCAACAATAACCTGAGAAGAAGTTTCCTTTACCTCAAAAGATACCAACTACCTGTTCCACATAACCAAAATCCCACCTGAAGTTCCAATTGCTGGGAGATGCCAATACTCTCAATCCTGCCCAATAAAGCAATCAATCTCCCTCCTATCCATGCTTGAAAGCTTGGTCTCCATAAGACCAATAAAGAATACATTTTGATCTCTCACCACCTCCTTCAAATATAGGGAAGCCTCTTTCTTTCTAGCCCCCCTGAATTCATTTAAACAATTAAAGGGGATTTCTCCCCATTAATGGAACTCACTCTTCCATCCCTTTTTTTTTCTTCTTAAAATCTTGTTCAACTGACCCTAAGGATCTCAATTCTTTGGCTAACTTGATCTTGGCAGCACCACTTTGAGACCCCACACCCAATTGAATAAGTTCTGTATCTGCAACATCCATATCTACCTTCTTTAATTTTCCATCTTCTTCAGTCTGGCCATTGTCTTCATCTACAGAAAACTCAGATAAAGCAGAAAATCTGTTTAATTAGCTGAACCTCTGAAGGTTTAATAACCTCAAATCTCTCAGCTGCCGGCTCAATTATTGGATCAAGGACAGGCTTTTCAACAACAACCTCTGCAACTTTCTTCACTTGATTTTCCTTCTGGAAAACATTTAACTGGCTGTTATTTACCCTGTTTTCCACCTTGGCCTTCTCCCCAATTATTTTCCTATTAACCACCTTGTTTTTAACCATCCGTCTATTTTTAAACTGTACATGGATCCATGGGCCAAATTCTGAAGTAGTTATAGACTTCTTCCCATCTGTCATCCTTTTACTATCTTCTTCATTAGCAGCTACCGTCTTCCCACTCTTTTGATCTTGAATACCAAGAGAGACATTCTCTGGACAAGAATTAACTTCATGTCCCACTTTTCCACATTGATAACATAGAAGATCAATCTTCTTGTACTCCACTCGTTGGAAGAACTTTCCAGCCGAGCCCTCTACCCAAACACCATTTAACAAATTTTTCTCCAACTCAAGCCTAATGCAGATCCGAGCAAACTCACGTTTAACCCAACGGAAAGTATTGCCATCAAAATACATTGGTGTTCCGAAACAAGAAGCAATTCTTTCCAAATTATCCTCATCCCAACAATATAATGGCAAGCTCGGAAGTCTGATCCAAACTGGAGCTGAAATACCCTTTAAAGAGTTGGGATCAAATGCAGGACACCATTTGTCCATACCAACAATGAATCTACTCACATACCATAGACCTCCATTCAAAATTTCTTAAACCGATCTCCCATTCTTCATTAAATGCATACATTGGTCGTTTATGTAGTTAATATCTCGTATGATATTTAGCCTCAATGGAGGAATATTGGAATAAGGAGTAATGAAATGGATTTTTGGAATTCTTAGACATAAGATGTTGAAATTTCTAGACTCTATGGAGATAATATAATTATAGGAAGGCCTTAAATTCTCCTTTTCATCCCTACTAGATTGATAGAGATCTAGGGATGTACATGCTCTGATCAACATCTAAAATAAAGAACAACATTTGGAAAACTATGATGTCTTCATTCATTAGTCCAACATATTTAATTTCCATTAGTATCAAATTTTCTTACAAGTTTTTACTACATGGGAAAAACTAAAAATATAATTTTTTTACACTCAATAGGATAATTGTACATTTATATTAAAAAATAGTAGCTTGATTAAAATTAAGAAGAACACTTTCATGTCGATTGGCACTCTCCACTATGACTTCATTATTTAATTCAACAAATATACTTATGTTATTTAAGTGTTCTTTCATAAATTTTATATCAAAGAAAATCTTATCTCCTCATCAATCAAAGTAAGCACCAACTAAAGCTCACATCAAATTTTGGGCATCGTTGTTGAGTAAGTAATGTATGTTTTACAAATTTAACTATTTTTTAAAGCATGTGCATATTTAAACCTACTTGTATCCTTAATCTTTAATTTTGTTCTACATAATTAAATTTTGAGAAAAGCCAAAAAAAAAATTAGATGATTTAGCTTGTGATTTTTTTTTAATTGTTTCATCATTGTTGCATGCCTTGTAGAATTAGTAATAAGCCCTTGTTTTTTTTTTTTTTTTTTTTAAAAAAATTAATCAAAAAAAATTTGAAAAGAATGCATCAAACAGCATTAAAGAAAGAGATAAAAAGCTATTACAAGACTAATGACTCATAACCATTGATTCCTCCTTTAATATAGACATAAATAAAGGAGGAATCTTATTCATA